AAGGCAAGGACACACACAAGTGGTGTAATTGCCATTACAGAGTGGGAGCTGCCTCTGTAATGGCAATTACAGAGGGAAAATCGGCCAGCTAAGTTTGGGGATATACAGCGCAGCCCTGTCCCGAAGGCCTCACCAGCATAGCCGAGGCCTAGGCCTGCTCAGGGTAACGGGTCTGTGGATCACCAGCCCCTCACTGGGGAAATGGTCCGCCAGTCAGGATCACTATACCACCTGAGAGAGGCTGGTAAGATAATAAGTGAAACAAGACAAAATATAGACCAAAAAGGGATCATAGCTACTTAGCTACGCTTGGAGAAAAGCAGAGTTCACAAATGGTTTTATTTATGCTTTTTATACATTAAATATGGTAATTTATCTTAAACAGTCTTTTAGGGTACATCTTATTCTTGAAATTGCATCACTCTTTTAGCAGCTGTTGAGATAAACGGGAACATCCCTCAGGCATGTATTGACAGCAGCAACTTATTTTAAAAAGAGTATAAAAATTAAGACTGACTTTTTAACAGAAAATTGATTAAATAGGAACAGCTTGTTTCAGATAGATAGTATTTTAATACAAGACTGAAAAAGGATTCATTCTCTATTCTATTGATGACTATCCCAATCTCATCTCAGCTGAAACCCTGCCTGGAGTACCCAGGCTCACACATTTTTTAAAAAAAATGAAAACCCAGCATCTACTTCAGTCCCTGAGCAATCTCAAATCAGTTAGGAACCATTTCAGATCAAACAAGCTTGTTTTAAAAGTTCATGCAATTGGAACCACCTAAATCATTTTCACTGGTTTCACTCTGGAAAATTAGAAGCTAGAAGTGCTGCTGTATGTTTGACTTAAGCCACTTTTAAGTAGGAGGTGACATAACCATGAGTGTCAGAGAATGTACTACTGCAGCAGCAGGCTAAGAAGTAAGCTCAAATTCTTCCTTGCCTTTTGCTAGAACTGATGGGTCAATCGTTTGCTTAATCCAACCTCAGTAAAAAGGTTACAGTTGCTAATATAAACTAAGAAGCAGAAGAGTATATTTCATAATTATATTTTAAATGAATTATCAATGTCCCTTTTGGGGTGGATAACCGTATCTTCAGATCCTATTTCAGTCTTGTTTCTACTTCACAATACTGAATGTATGCTGTCAAGGAGTGCCGAGCAGCAGTTTCACTTAAACATACCGGCTGCAATTGTTTGTTAGACACAGCATGATGCAGCACTTTCATATTGCCAGGTTCAGTAATACAGCAGATTTATCTGAGCAAATGTTTAGCTTGGCAGGATACTGTAAGCTAAAGGAGGATTTTAGTCTCGCAGTTACCAGTTCTGGTACTCACCTAACTTGGAGAGGCAGATGGCAGCAGCCTAGATTGATAAAGGCAGGCTCAGCACAAGTCAGCACCTATTTGTACTTGACAAGGAGGCACTGTCATTAGAAGAGGTTTAATTCTTTTAGTACTGATCGAAAAGCACTACCAGCTCCTCACATCTAACAACTGAATGTCTCCCATGATTTCCACTATGTTGATCTTTTCAAGTTGTTTAAAACGATGCTTGTACTCCAGAGTGTGAATGCCATTAACAGCAACTTTGAACTGGTGGGCATCACAGAAAATGATCAGCTGAAGAGCAAGAAGAGAAATGGTTAAGTTTTAAGTTCACCTAAGACATGAAAAACAACCTGATGATCTAGCCTAGACTTGGGCAAGCCCTGTTTCTGTTACAAAAAATGTTTCATGCAAAAGAAACATTTTAAAAAGTGGAACTTCAATAAAATTCATAGAATAACGCAAGTTGGAAGGGACCCATAAGGATCATCCGGTCCAAGTGAATTCAATTAAAATTTGTTCTAAGCACAGGCTGAATTCTTGCCACTATTTAAAAAGAAAACTGTCATTAAACCCAAGCCAAATCTCTGCTCCCTATGGTCCCATTTAATCCTAAATATTCTCGAGACACTGAAATGCAGTAATGGCAGTTTTATTTAAATCTGTATTGGCGACATGACAGTTAAGCACCACTGCTAATCCTTCTCGCAGAATTACCAGTCTGATGCTATGTTTCAGTTAATCTTACCTCAAAGTACATCCCTGGACTGAAAGGGAAGTTGGCAACTTCCTTTTCTTCTTCTCCCCAGCTGTCATGAAGGTATGAGTTTCTTACAAAAACTTGATTTTTCACTCGGGGATTCAGATGTAACGCAATGTCCTTTGAGTCACTTGATTTCAGATTTACTGCAAAGCTGGAAGATATTTTTTTAAAGTTTACTATACCAAGGGTTTATGAACATGATGCAAACATGGTCCACACTATTTATCAAGTCCTTAGCTAATATTCACAACTGTTCTGGAGCCAGGACCACGATTCACCTGAAGAACCAAGCAGGCAGTTAACAGCATTTGTCCCCTTTGCACAGAAACCTTTGCTGGAGGCAGCAAATGCACACGACCCTGCTAGATCTGCTTCATCACTCCCAGCTTTCTGTTCCTGTCTCAGCAAGGAGGCACTGAGCCAAGCGGGCCAAGTGCTGCTCCCCTACAGCACTGGGAAGCGGCATTCTCACAGAAACATATGGTGCTACTTGTTCCACCACCTCCTTCTCTTAACTTGGGCAGCGGAGAGTGGGAGGCTGTGTTTTACCTTAAGACATTATATTCTTCCTGCCAACAAACTGGTTAGACTCTAAAGAAATGTTTGAGGATTCTACAAGGAAATGTTTCAGGATTCTCTCCATATAGTTAAGATTAGTGGGGCACTAGGCATACAAAGCGTTACTTCATAGGCAGCGTAGCTCTGCCCAGGCTGAACGCATACTCTGCAGTCTCAGACATCTCCACAACACAGGGTTCCTAAAGGGGAGCTCTGGAGAAGAGTGATCAGAGGGGAGAGTCATGCAAATTCAAATGAATGCTTCAACCTGTGGCAAAGACCTCACTGCATTTGAAGAAGAACTATTCCTCCCCCCAAATTAGCTCCAGCTGTCATGTTATTTCCCTCCTTTGAGAGGCCTAGAATGAAATACAGCAACAGCCACACTGTGAAGTCCTCTTTTTTTACCATAAAAAACTAACATCTACAACCGTGCGAACCGAGTGAAAGACATTAAGTAACTTATACGTTTAAAAGCACAAACACAAAGACCAGGCAACCTGCAACGCTTTAACTAACACCCAAAAGCCTCTTCAGCCTTACGAGCAGTACATTCAGCACTTGAAATGTGCTAATAAGATTTTCAAGCCAAAAGATGGAAAACAAATGGTATTAAGTATTTTTTTTTAAATTATCCTGTCCAATTTAAAGTCCGTTCCAACTTTGTTAATGAGATTTCTAGACCTTGGGTTCCAGTATTCATATGAACTCTGAGTGCTGTTCAGCTGCTGGGAAGATATGTGCTCTGAGGAAGCAGGAGTGCAATGCATACACACAGTGTAAAAAACATGCTTCTCATCATTTGCATGAATTGCTTCATTTTCAGGCATGTTTCTGCACAGGCAAAACCACCCTTCAAGCAAAGGGCATGATGAAGCACAGACAATTCCTCAGCTCCATTTTGATCATGTTATGCTCCCCGTTTTTTTTTTTTTCCTCTCTATTTAAACCATGTTGGGAAAATGTCGTCTTTGCAACACACTGTTCCTAATTTGCTATCAAAATTAAGGCTCATACTCCCCTACCAGCTGTCATCACTCTTGTTGTCAGTTAGGCACCTGCATGCTTATGCAGTCCCCCAGGAGGCCGTCCAAGAAGTATTCAGAGAAACACTGTAACATGCAGCATTCCAGGACACCAGCAACTCCTCTCGCTCACTCATTTTCCACCTACTTCTGCCAGTTCCCTTACCCTTAGATCTCTTTAGATTAAAAGCTGTCTTTGTACGATGTGTGTGCTCACATGCCTTTCACAATGGAAACCCTGAACAGACACACAATCTTGTGAACGATGCAGATTTAGGAGGCGAGACACTCAGGTTTTACCTTCACCTTTCACAACGGAGCTGCTCTTTTAAGTCTTCTCTAAAGCGGTATCCTGCAGGTTCCTGAGAAAACTGCAGTTTCAGATGATGCCAGATGTAAAGTTGCAAGTGAGTAAGGATATACTGAGGCAACGGAAAAGCCTACTCATTCTCAAG